TAAATCTGGTCTATGTGCAACCCTTTGAGATAGCATTGGTGACCCAAGTGGAGGTCCAATGTTAGATCAAGGTTTAATCACCCTAAGGTGAAATTCACCTCTGGGCAGAGGGCCATCACAAAGGCCCATGCTCCACTGAAGTCCCTGCTAAGACATAGTTTGAAAGTTTAAAGTGGGGCTGAAGTTGTCCATAGGCATCGTACTATCCCTCTGCCAAAAGGTGAATCTGAGACTTAAGGTCACGACAGGAAAGAGACTGAAGGCAATGGAATGATTCTGATTGTTTTCTGAGGGAATCGGATCTCACCCGTTGGGGATGGAACTTTTGAGAAGGCAGAAAAATGGCTCTTTGCTTCCTAGCAAGTTTATAATGAACCGTCCAATGCCCCTAACTATGACCAGCATAAACTGAAAGGACCAAAGTGGATTTCTGCTCATGACAGCCAATTGTGCTGCTGATGCAATTCTAAATCACCTCGACATGCATTCTCATTGCACCACCAAGAAAGTCATTGGAATGATACTAGGAACGCAGATTGCAACGTGCATGTCACTCCCTTTGGGGCTGAGAAGGCATGTAGTCCTACCACGAACCATGTGATTGGTCCTTTTGAAATCAAAGGAAATATTTACATTCTTAAAGTGAAAATCTGTGAAAGTCTTATCAGGAAAAGACTTTTTGCTAAACAGATAATGCAAGGAAGAACTGCACCCCTGTGCAGAGGGCCTGAATAATGCTATGAACCATTTTATGGGCTTTATTATCCTATCACTCCATGCCTTCGAAAGTTGCAGCTTGAGAGGTGTCTGGTACTGCCGGCTCTACAGGGATGAATTTTCTCCAGCACGATTTTTAAACTATGAGTGAGGAACAAGGAAACCAGAGGACCGATATTATGATGCAGCATAGTTTTTAATATGAATGAAATTTGCAATACACAGTTACAGAAAAAAATAATACAGAGCAGAAAGGATGCATTTCAAGTATTTCCAAAAGGGCTCGGACCGATCACCCGCTTCCTTGGGATGCATTTGAGGCAAGATGTTCTTTTCCCTTTGTTGCAGATGCAGAGTTGGACAAAGAAATTAAAGTGATAATAAAGACAACTGATGCCTGGGTTAAGGCCCCTGTTTCCTTCACACTGTGGGGTTAGTGCAAACAGCCTGAGTGTAATTCAGAATGAGTCCACGAGAGACTAAGAGAATAAGCGCATGGTTGGGAAAGCATTGGCAGAAAGTGTTTACAGGCATAATATTAGCAATCGGTCTATGATCGAGAGGGGCTGAGCAGACACAGTTCGCATTGAATTCAAGTGGAGCCATGCCTGCCCAGCACTTCTGAAATCTCTGTCTGAATCTCTAGCTTGTTGTTCATTTCCTGGTCTTTTCTTTTACCATTGATATTCCTGCAGGGTTTAACATGGTGTACAGCTTCCACTCAGGTACCTATGGCAAGATACCCCAGAACCGCATGCTCCCCCATAACCGTAACCTCCCCCGTAACCTCCTCCGTAACCACACAGTCCACCATAACGGCCACCGTAACCACTCAATCCCCCATAACCATAACGGCCCCCGTAACCACACAGTCCCCCGTAACCT